TAAGAGGAAAATGTAAGAGTGTAAGAGCTTACATTTTTTAAAAAAGATGAAAGACTCCAAATCGACAGCCTAACTGTACACCATAGGTAAGTAGAAGAGAAAAATTGAACGAAACCCAAAGTTACTAGAGGAAGGAAATAATAAAGATTGAAGCAGAGATAAATAAAATAGAGAACAGAAAAACAATAGAGAAAATCAGCAGAACTATGAGCTGGTTCTTCAAAAAGATCAGCAAAAATGATACACGTTTAGCAAGACTGGGTAAGAAATAAAGACATAAGACTTATTCTTGGAAACATACAACCTACCAAAAGGTAGTAACGAAGAAACAGAAAATCTAAACAGACCTATAGCTAGTAAAAAGATTGAATAAAAACAATAAAATTATTAAAATAATAATACATTTATAAAATAATAATAAAAATCAGTAATACAAATCTCCCAATAAAGAAAAGCCCAGAACCAGATGGAGTCATTGGTGAATTCTAATAGGAGTTCAAGGCATATATTTAAAGAATTAACATCAATTCTCAAACTCTTCCCCAAAAATGAAGAGGGGGGAACATTTATTAACTCATTCTATGAAGCCAGCATCACCCTGATACGAAAGCCAGAAAAAGATACCACAAGAAAACTATAGGCCAATATCTTTTATGAATATTAATATAAAAATCTTCAACAAAAACAAAAAGCTGAATTTAACAGCACATTAAAAAGAGCTGAATTTAACAGCACATTGGAAGAATTATACATGATAACCCAGTGGAATTTACCCCTTGGTGCAGGAATGGTTTGACATATAAAAATTAACCATTGTGATAGAATACATTAACAAAGCGAAGAAAAATAGCCACACCATCATCTTATACGTAGACAACCCTAAAGATTCCACACACAAAATAGAACCAATAAATAAATTCAGAAAAGTAGCAGGTTACAAAATCAACATACAAAAATTAGTTGCTTTTCAATATGTTAATAACAAACAATATGAAAGGGAATTAGGTAAACCACTCCATCACAATAGCATCAAAAAGAATAAAATATTTAGGAATAAACTTAGCCAAAGAGGGAAAAACATATATGCTAAAAACAACAAAATACTACTGAAAGAAATTAAGGTGGATACTAGAAAGTGAAAAGACATCCGGTGTTAATGTACTGGAATACTTTATATTGTTAAGATAGCCATTCTACCCAAAATGTTACAAATCAATGAAACCCATATCAAAATCCCAATAATGTATTTTTTTTTGCAAAAATACAAAAATACATCCCAAAATTCATAAAAAATCTGAAAGGACCCTGAATGGCCAAAATAATCTTGAAGAAGATGAAAAAAGTTGGAGAATGCACACTTGCTAATTTCAAAACTTACCAGTATTCTACAGTAATTGTTGTGGAACTATTAATAGCATACAGACATATTAGACTAATAGAAACGAATAGAGGGCCCCAAAATAAACACCAGTATATATGGTCAAATGATTTTTAACAAGGGTGGCAAGACCATTTTATGGGGAAAATAACAATCTTTCCAGCAAATGAAGTTAGGAAAAATGGATATCCACATGCAAAAGAATAAGCTGGACCCTTACCTTATACAATATACAAAACTTAACTCAAAGACCTAAAACTATAAAACCTTTAAAAAGCACAGGGGAAAAGCTTCATGACACTGAATTTGGCAATGATTTCTTGGATACGATACAAAAAATACACACAATAACAACAAAAAATGATAAATTATACTTCATTGACGTTAAAAACTTTTGTTCATCAAAGGATATTATTGATACAGTGAAAACGCAACTTACAAAATGGGAGAAAAGGACGGGCGCGGTGGCTCAAGCCTGTAATCCCAGCACTTTGGGAGGCCGAGACGGGTGGATCACGAGGTCAGGAAATCGAGACCATCCTGGCTAACAAGGTGAAACCCCGTCTCTACTAAAAAAAAATACAAAAAAATTAGCCGGGCGAGGTGGCAGGCGCCTCTGTAGTCCCAGCTACTCGGGAGGCTGAGGCAGGAGAATGGCGTGAACCCGGGAGGCGGAGCTTGCAGTGAGCCGAGATCGCGCCACTGCACTCCAGCCTGGGCGACAGAGCGAGACTCCGTCTCAAAAACAAACAAACAAACAAACAAAAAAACAAAATGGGAGAAAATACTTTCAAATCATATATCTGAAAAAGATTAATAACCAGAATCTATGAAAATTCCTATAACTTGACAACAAAAAATCTAAAAAGTTGGCCAAAAAGTGTGCAAAGGACTTGAATAGCTTTTCAAAGAAGAGAAAAACTTGGTGAAGGAGCAAATAAAAAGACACTCAATATCAGTAATCATTAGGGAAATGCAGATAAAAAATACAGTGAGGTATCACTTCATACCTGCTAGATGGTTATCATTAGGAAAAAAAGAGGAGTAAGAAAAATAAAACAGAAAATAACAAGTGTTATCAAGGATGTGGAGAAATTGAACCATTGAACATTCTTGGTGGGAATGTAAAATGGTGCAGCCACTATGGAAAACAGAATGGCGGTTCTTTGAAAAATTGAACATAGAATTATCATATGATACAGTAATTCCAGTTCTGGGTATATACCCAGAAACAGCAAAAGCAGGAACTGTAGCAGATAAATGTACACCCATGTCTATAGCAGTATTATTCACAATAGCCAAATAATGGAAGCAATCTAAATATCCACGGACAGGTGAATTGATAAAGAAAATATGGTATATACACACAGTAGAATATTATTCAGCTGTAAAAAGACAGGAAATCCTGACATATGCTACAACATGGGTGAACTTTATAGACATTTTACCAAATGAAATAAGCTAGTAACAAAGACACATATTGTACAATTCCACTTATATTTGGTACCTTAAGAAGTAAAATTAATAGGGATAGAAAGTAGAATGGTGATAGAGGCCTGGGAGGAGGGGAAATGAGAAGAAAGTAATTATTTGATGGGTATGGTGTCTCAGTTCAGGAAGATGAAAAAATTTTGGAGATGGGTGGTGGTAACATGCGCACAACAATGCGAATGTACTTAATGCCACTGAACTATACACTTAAAAATGCTTAAAATGGTAAATGTTATGTCCTGTATATTGTAATACAATTTTTTAAAAACAACAATTATTTTGGTATTTAAAAGCAAGGTAGAACAAAAGTACTACATGACAATAGCATGAATAAGGATGGAAAGTATTCAGAATTTGTGTTCTAAGATCTTATTTAATATTTGGGTGGAGTTTACAGATACTAACTTTTGGAATTTATAAATACATATATTAAAATACTAAAAATAACCAATAAAATAATTTTAAAAAAAGATGTCCAAATATGCTAAAGAAACGTTTTAAATAGGCCATATTATTACGATAGACTATACTATTTACAGTTAATATTTATGTCCTAATAAAATACATGGGAAAAATATACATTAACTTTAAGAAAGAAGAAAAGGGTAAACATTTAGGGTGGGACTTTAACCTATACATCAAATACTATTCCTTTAAAAATGTCCACATTTAAAAATATTGATTGTGGGTATATATTGATTGAAATATAATATAATTTTTAGAGATGAGATAGAAAACCTATGAAAAGTTGTACTAGAAAGTATTATGTGTTTATTAATTTTCAGGATTAAGGATAATCTTCAAATTGGGAAGAAACAGAATTACTCACAAAAAAATGGAAAATTAGGTGAAACTCCCAAATATCCCCAAACTCTATAATTGAATTCAAAAGATAAAGAATTGGCTTAGAAAAAAGTGTCTTCCGCAGATAGAACCAAGTGCTAGCATATTTCCACAAGAAAGCATATAATCTGACACAGAAATGATGACAATATGAAAGGTAAAGGAAATGAACGAGAAAGAACTAAAGTATGTCCTATCAAAATAGTATCTTAACATTAACATTAAAACAAATTACCATTTTTATAATTTATCATTTAGCAAATAATTGAACATGTCCAAGTCAGTAAGGATGTGGTGAAAACAGAACATTTATACACAGTTGGTATATGCTAAATTTGGCACAGCCCGTTAGCATAGCAATTGCTATGTGTTAAATAAATAAAAAATATCGTACCCTTAATTTATTTATCCCATTTCTGAAATTTGTGCTAAGAACTAATGCTGAAGGAAGAAAAGACATGTCTAGGAAAGTAGTCCTTGCTATATAATTTATAACATAAATTTGAAGCTTCTAATTCCCTAAGAGGACAGTAATACTTGCTGGATTTTCAGTCATTTTAATGCCAGTCATGAAAACTCCATAGCAACCAGGGAATAGTTGATGAGCTGTTAAATGACTATAGGGTGTAAAAGAGCGGGAAAGCAAGAACAGCATTGCAAGGTAAGGCAAAATCAGGGTCAAGACTAGGGTGAGGAAACTGAGAGACTTCCTTAAGAGACAAATTTGGAATGGACACCAAAAATAAAAATAAAATAAAAACCAATAATCAAGATAAAAAATATTTTTAAAAGGCAAAGCTAATGTGACATCTGTGATGGAAAAAGCTAAAAATTTCAAATACAAATAGGTTCTCATCTTGATTTGCACCACCCTGAGAGTGTCGCACTTGCTTTTCCCTTATTCAGACCCAAGGTTCCTGTCTTTGTTAAATTTTTTAACATTTCTTTATCACTGATATTGATATTTTTGCACAGATTTTTAATTTTTTAAAACCCGTTGCATTAAAATATCATTTTCTTGCATTGGCGCCCCCTTAAAATCTGCACCGCAGGCCAGTGCCTCTATCACCCTAGTCCCGGCCCTGTGCAATATTATGGTAATAAGTATGTGTTTTGAGCGTCCGCAGTTTTTCTCTGTATAAACTTCACATGTACTTTAAAATCCAAGCTAAAAGTGCGGTTCTCCGCGATCCTTCGGCCTCAGAGCAGTGGCCCCAACTTCCCGAGGCCGAGGGAGGCGTTGTGGCAACAGTCGTGGAAGGTTCGGGAAACCGCCTTCTGGCCTCACCATGAAGCGCAAGTTAGACCCTCGGGGAATGACGTCGCCCCGCAGCTCATTGTGGAGGTTCACGTACTCGTTGATAAAGTCTACGTCCTCTTCGTGTGGCAACAATGTCGCGTTCAAACTAGAACCTAGTAGCAGTAGCCACAGCTCACAGAGCCGCAGCTTCAAAACGCCCCCTACTGCCAGGGGGAGGGATTGTGCGCTCCACTCCCGGGCGAAGGACCTTGGGGCCTCCATGGTCCACCGGCCGCGGACAGGCCAGTGCGCACGCGCTGGCCGTCCCAGTGAACTGCCAATCTACGGGCGACGCAGGCGAGCCTTGTCCCGCCTCCCGGAGGGAGAAAGGGAGCGGGGAGGAGGAAAAACAAAGGAGGGAGGAGGGAGAAAAGAGGAAGGAGGAGAGAGGAGGGAGAGGATAGTAAGGAGGGGAGAGTGGAGAGGGGAGGGGGAGAGGAGGGGAAAACTAGACCTGCGGAGTGAAGAAAGCTGGCAATAGATGTCTGACGAACTAAAGAAAGACTTGCGCTACGTGAGTAAGCGCTTTTCACTAAACCAATGTAGTGAAATGTTATCCCTAATTGATTTCTGACACTGAATGATATGTCGTCATTCATGAGTCATCAGTTTGTATGGTAAATGCCAATTACTGAGTAACGGGTCTGAGGAACCGTCTAATTGTGCCAGGTGAAATGATTTTTCTGCGATACGGATACAAATTCAATTAATTTTTTTTCTGCATTACCTATTGAGTTGGAAATTTGATGCAGGGCCAGCCCTTTATTTTCCTCAGGGACAGAATGGAATAAAGAAATGTTGCTAGTTCTTAAGGCCAAAGAAGTTCTTAAGGCCAACTTAATCGATGAGATTTTTTTCAGTTTTTAAATGAACCTTTGTGGGAAACCACAAAATAAATGGGAGTGAAGGGAGAGTAGGGATCACCAAACTCTCCAAAGGTTAAAACATTTCTACTTCTTCTCTCATCAGCACAATTCAGACAGCCTGGAATATCAAGATTCATCTTTTTCAGTAATTGTGGCATTCACAGTAAGAAAAAACTCTTTTCTTTTTTTTCCAGACAAAATTGGCTGATATCTAGCTGATTTTGGCCTGATCTATTTACCTCCAAACATTTTCCTCAAAAACAAAACATAACAAAACCAACTTGCTTTGAAGACTTTAAATTCTAAGCGTGGAAAAAAAGCACATATTTGTTTTGGAGTACACGTTTGCATATTACATATTGTGCTTAATGCATTAAGCAGATATGGAAAATTGACATTAAGAGAAAATTTTACTACAAAACATTGTAACAGGTTAGCCAAACATTTATACAAAGAAAAATGCTTTCAAAAATTGTGATGCACACAATTGAAAAACAGTGGACCTATGTAAGATGGTTTCGTTCATGCCCTTGAATACTTACTATTGTGCAGTGTATTAAGTGATTGAAAAAGATTAGTAGACAAGACACAGATTCAGCTTTTAAGCAGCTTACAGTTTAGTGAATTAGCAATCAGGTAGTATTTATAACATGTGATAAATACAAAGCCAAAATTCTATTGCATCATGTGAGGGACGATTAGTACTCTTGTGGAGGACCAGGGAAGCCTTTCTGGAAAATGTATACAGAAACTGAAACAGACAAGTGTAAGATAGCATTCTAAACAAAAGGAAAAGCAGGTAATGTGCCTAAGGAGAGAGGAAGATCCTAAAGGCTAAAGTATTTTGGTATGGCTAGAACCTATTTAAGGGTGAAGTTGGCAAGTGCTGAAAAATGCAATTCCTTTATTATGGTGGTACTGTTGTTAGACTGCAAACAATGCTAAAGAAAAAATATAAATAGAATAATACGATCTTAGATTTGGAAGAAATTTTAGCCACGATTACTAGCCTCATGTGTTAGGCATACTCTCTGGAACATCATTGACAGGTGATCATCACATCCTTTTCTTAAACAATTACACCAACAGGAAGTCACCATTTCCTGGGAAGCCCATTCCACTGCTAGACATTTCATTCAATAAATATTTCCTTGGTACCTCGTGTGTGTCACAGCCTAGCTAAAGGTTCAAATGCTGAACAAACTAGACATGGAGTCTATCCACAGGAAGCTTTTAATTAAAGGTGATACAGCTGAATCATCAATAGTTACAATACAGAGTGGTGAATACTACTTTTAATCTATTTCACAAATATTTAATGTGTCGGGCACTGTTTAAAATGCTTGGACAATAGCAACTCATTCAAGTCATACAAATCTTAAGAAATAGTTATTATCCCTTTAACAGATGGAAAAACTGAGAAAAAGAGAAATCAAATTGCCTGAGGCCACCCAGCCAGGGGGTGGTAGAGCTACTTCTGTTTTGTTTTGTTTTTACCAATTCCTTTTCTAAAAATAGACTCTATTTTTTAATAGCAGTTTTAGGTTCACAGCAAAACTGAGAGGAAGGTACAGAGATTTCTCATGTACCTCCTGCCCCCACACGTACATAACCTCCCTCATTATCAACATCCCACAACAGAGTAGTACATTTACAGTTGATGAATCTACATTTATACATTATTCCCACCCAGAGTTCATAGTGTATGTTAGGACTCATTCTTGGTGTTGCACATTTCATGGGTTTGGATAAATGTATAATGTCATGTTTCCAGCATTTAGTATCATATAGAGTAGTTTTACTGCCTAAAAATCCCCTGTGTTCAGACTATTCATCTCTCCCTCCCTCCTAACCCTGGCAACTACTTATATTTTTACTGTCTTCATAGTTTTGCTTTTTCCAGAATGTTATATAGTTGGAATCATACAGTATGTAGCCTTTTCAGATTGGCTTCTTTCACTTAGTAATATGTGTGTAAATTTCTTCCATGTCTTTTCATGGCTTGGTACCTAATTTCTTTTTAGCACTGAATAATTTTTCATTTTCTGGATGTACCAACATTTCTTTATTCCAGTAGCTATTGAAGGACACGTTGGTTGATTCTAGGTATTGGTGTATTATTCTGTTCTCATGCCACTAATAAAGACAGACCCAAGACTGGGTAATTTATAAAGGAAAGAGGTTTGATGGACTCACAATTCCACATGGCTGGGAGCCTTCACAATCATGGTGGAAGATGAAGGAGGAGCAAAGGGACATCTTACATGCTGGCAGGCAAGAGACCATGTGCAGGGAAACTACCCTTTATAAAACCATCAGATCTCATGAGACTTATTCATTACCATGAGAACAGCATGGGAAAAACTTGCCCCCATGATTCAATTACCTCTCACCGAGTCACTCCCATGACACGTGGAGATTATTACAATTCAGGGTAACATTTGGGTGGGGACACAGAGCCAAACCATATCAATTTGCAAAGGAACACAGTTGCTATAAACATCTTTGTGCAGGTGTCTGTGTAGACATAAGTTTTCAACCCCTTTGGATAAATACCAAGAGCATGATTGCTGGATCATATGGTAAGTGCTATTGTTTGGATATTTGTCCGTTTCAAAATTCATGTTGAAACTTAATCCCCAATGTAACGGTATTGAAACGTGGGGCCTTTAAGAAGTGATTGGGTCTGTCCTCATGAATGTATTGACCCATTCATAGATTAATGGGTTAATGGATTCATTTAGCCCCTTTACCATGTGATACTCTGTGCTGCCTTGGGATTCTGCAGAGTCCCCAGTAGCAAGAAGGGCCTCACCAGATATGGCCCCTTGACTTTGAAATTCTGAACCTCCACAATTCTAAGAAGTAAATATCTTTTCTTTATAACTTACCCAGTTTCAGGTATTTTCTTATGAGTAACATTAAACAGACTATGACAGTAAGTATAATGTTCAGTTTTTTAAGAAACCACTAAACTGTAGTCTGAAGTGGCTGTGCCATTTTGCATTCCCACCAACCATGAATGAGAGCTCATGTTCCTCCACATCCTTGTTAGCATTTGGTGTTGCCAGTGTTCTGGATTTTGGCCATTCTGATAGGTGTGTAATGGTATTTCATTGGTATTTTAATGTGCATTTTCCTGATGACGTATGATGCACCTTTTCATATGCTCATTTGAGTACTATGTATCTTCTTTGGTGAGGTGTCCATTAAGGTTTTTGACCCATTTTTAAATTAAGCTGTTTGTTTTTTGACTGTTGAGTTTAAAGAGTCTTTGCACACTTTGGCAGGCCGAGACGGGCGGATCACGAGGTCAGGAGATCGAGACCATCCTGGCTAACACGGTGAAACCCCGTCTCTACTAAAAAATACAAAAAACTAGCCGGGCGTACTGGCAGGCGCCTGTAGTCCCAGCTACTCGGGAGGCTGAGGCAGGAGAATGGCGTAAACCCGGGAGGTGGAGCTTGCAGTGAGCTGAGATCCGGCCACTGCACTCCAGCCCGGGCGACAGAGCAAGACTTCGTCTCAAAAAAAAAAAAAAAAGAGTCTCTTCTGTGTTTTTCTCCCAGGCTGTGGCTTGTCTTTTCATTCTCTTAAGAATGTCTTTTGCTGTGTAGAAATTTTTAGTTTTAATGGCACCCAGCTTATCAATTTATTCTTTCATAAATCATAACTTTTGTGTCGTATCTAAAAGATTATTGCCAAATTAAAGATCATCTAGATTTTCTCTTATATAAACTTCTATGAGTTTATACTTTTGCATTTACATTTAGGTCTGTGATCCATTTTGATTAATTTTTGTTAAGGGTATAAAGTTTGTGCTTAGACTGATATTTTTTTCTTATTTATGGACATTCAGTTGTTCCAGAACCATTTGTTGAAAATACTACATTTGCTCCATTATATTGCATTTGCTCCTTTGTCAAAGATCAGTTGACTTGATTTATGTTGTTCTATTTCTGAGCTCTCTATTCTGTTCCATGGATTTATTTATTTCTACTTTCACCAATACTATACTGTTTTAATTACTGTATTTTTGCTATTGTTTGAATGTGTCCCCCTGAATTCATGTGTTAGAAAATTAATACCCAATACAACAGCATTGAGAGGTGGGATCTTTAAGAGGTGATTAGGTCATGAGAGCTCTGTCCTCATGAATTGAATTAATGCCATTATCACAGGATTGGTAAAATATTGAGGGAGTGAGTTCCTGATAAAAAAGTGAGTTCAGCTCCGTTCTTTTGCACATATGCCTGCACTCTCTTGCTCTGTGAACTCCTGCCATCAGATGACACAGCCAGCAGGTCCTCACCAGATGCAAGCTCCTCAATCTTGGACTTTCCAGCCTCCAGAACTGTAAGAAATTGATCTTTGTTTTTTATAAATTACCAAATATC